AAAGTGCGTCTTGTCTTGATTTTTAGCTTAGACTTTTACAATAAACTTGTTAGAAAACACGTTCATTTGTCTACTGGGTCTTGATATTGGTTATTTTTACTCTAACCTAACAATGTCTTCTTGTGTCTTGATTTTGCTGCGACGCTGAGAATAAAGACTCTTAAACGCGTTTTCTTGCGTATTGTGTGGTTATTTTAGCTTTAGATGTGTCTTGTGTCTTGATTTTGCAGCAGCGCAAATAAATAAAGACTCTTAAACGCGTTTTCTTGCGTATTGTGTGGTTATTTTAGCTTTAGATGTGTCTTGTGTCTTGATTTTGCAGCAGCGCAAATAAACAAAGATTCTTAAACGCGTTTTCTTGTGTATTGTAGTTATTTTTTAGATTAAATTGTGTCTTTTGACGCTTTTCCGGCATCAGCACAAAGGAATAAAGGCTCTGAAGTCATTTTACTTGCGTTTGTTTGTTATTTTAGATTTGTTTTTAGATTTTAGTTTTTATTCCTTAAGCACTAAACGCTATTCTTGAAAAAAGCACGACCCAAGCATTCTACAGCACGCTTCTAAGACGGTCCAGTAACCACACTAAATTRCTATCATAGTTTGCAATAATTTAGTTAAATTTAGCAAAATTTAGTAAAAAATAGTCTTTTGTAAGTATTGCACGGATATATTGCTTGCACTCTAGCTAATGATAATCAATTTATTAGAAATAATCAATTTAACATTAATTTAGTGAAAAAAAGTCTTTGATACATTAATTCCTCACGACTCGATCCCCTACCGTCCAGTCTATATGGGCCGTCTTATACCATTACACCACCGAGTTTCTGATGYGATTCCTTGGAAGACAACATGCTTATAAATCTTATGAATTAGGCTCATTAGGAATGCAATGAAAAGCAGACAAAGACACTATTTGAATAGATTTTGTTYCAGAAAGTCGTTCGGGAATTGAAGAACAACAAACGGTGCTTCATGTATTCAAAATTATGAAAATTGAAAACCTTGGTGGAGATGCAATAAATCAAAATATTTCTGCTATATGTCGTATTTCCTTCGCTTTTTTCCCCTCCCGAATAATTAATGAGTTTTTGAAGTCGTTCAAAGGCCTCCGGACTGGACGGGATTTCAATTCGGACTGGAACTTAATTGCGCGGACTTTGAAACCTCGTCAAGTTCTCAAAAGCAAGAAACTTATATATGCTGTATCACTTTGGTACATGCTAAGACGGAGGTAGATCACTGAGTCGGGGGGCTTTACTGGGCTTTACAATCTCTAGCCTCCGGCTCGAGATTGTGAAATCCCATACAACACGACCGCTCATGTTGTAAACTATACATACAGACATAAATATTTTTTTATAATTAATATCTAATGAACTGGGTCATTGATGAGTCAGTTCATCAGGATGTTTAAAAACTAACCGTAAACATTAGTTGTGTTCGTGAATGCTTTTACAATATTCAAGGTATCACCTCTTCTTGCTAAAAAGTATTGTTACTGATTAATAGGCTCTCCGCACACAAACACATTCACGGCGAGAACCCCTTTAAACTGAGATAGGCCTGAATGGAGTGGTCACAAAACTGATTCATTATTAACGTTAATGAAAACTACTTAAAAATTGAAAGGTACTTCATAAAAATCTTATTTGCTATATATTACAAAGAGCAAAACGATAAAAAACGCAGTAAGGGAAACCCCAACAAGGTGTTTAGTGTGCGAAAATGGGAAACGTTTAATTTTTTCATTAGTTTTGTCAGATGAACAAAGTACTATCAATTCTGCACTTGGAT